ACCGACCTAACAAGCAGACTATTTCATTTCTCTCTAACACATAGTTAGATATAAGAAAGGGGATAATTGTCTGCGGAAATACTTTATTCAGAGCGAAAAGATGTGTTTACTTTGTAAATTAAACTTAGGAGTCATAGAATAAAGAAGCAAACAGTCCTTTGTCTAACTGAGATGATCGAAACACATGGCATTGTTACTGTATGTGTTTCGATGGTCTTTTGGCTTAGATGGTTATGTGTTTATTCCTTAATTCTAGGGATCCATGTTCGAATGACACTGAAGTCACGTAAGTACAAGTTGTTTGCTTTCTCTACTTTGTCACTCTACTAGGTTGTATAGTCGTTTATCTGCATATCTATGCATCTAGACATGTACCAGAATTTAATTTGATGTTGAATTTTATTTTGTTTAATTCATTTTCAACGAATACAAACGCGCTGAAATTGTCAAAATTCATCCTGCTAAACGCGTTAGAAATAAATACATATCAACGCGTTTGTTTGCCAAAAAAGGTTTGCCTGGGCAACCCATTACCAGAATCGAGCGTTGGCTGCTGACAATATCTTCTGTGTCGTGAAAATACTTCTGTTTTTTTACAATTATTAAAATCATCATACAACTGTGAATTTCTGATGTCACATCCAAAAAGTGTGCAGATTTGTGAACGGATCAAACAGAAAAATAGAGTAGTTTTAAAGGTCTACTGACGCAAAGTGAAAAACTGTTCAACGTGTTTCTAGTCATTTATAGTTTATTGAAATGTTCTTTTAGTAAGAGCAGAATGTTTGAATAGTATATCAATAGTATATTCAAAGAAGAAATTCACAATTGTCGATGTGTATTGTTATAATGTTGATATTGACCAAAAACATTTCTTTATTTACATGTTCTATAATAAAATAATACAAACATTGTCTTTTATGTACGTAATTCTCAGTATTCAATCAGCAATCGCTTGCCTAGTTCAATTTGTTTTATTAAGAATGAGGAAACAAATTGTTTTTCGATCACATTTTATTTGATTACGGACTATAATTTTTAACCGTAATTCTTAGTGAAAAGTATTTGATATGACTAACATGTTATATTTTCTATTCATGTAAAGCTAAAAATATAGGTAACATGATTATCCATTTGATTGTAGCATCGGTCTTAATGATCAGTATTCAATCACAAAGTTATCAAATCACGACTAAAATGTCCAACTTGGGCACACAGTTTCAACCAATCAATCAAGTTGAATTAATAGACACATTTGGAGCATCAACATTAAAACGATGCTTGATGCCCTGTAGTGAAAATCCAAGTTGTCGAACATTCACTTATGATTCTACAACATTTCAGTGTCTTTTATATGAAGGACTTGCATCGACAGGAACAACCATTTCGTCTCCCTCGCTAACATCGACCGTCGGTGCTTTAGATTATCTTCCAATAGACTTTCTGGAGTATAATGATACATGCGATGAATGGTCGGTTCATCGGTACCTAGTATGCATAAATGGTAGATTTCAATGTCCACAAAACACATTTTGGAATGATGAGATGTGTATTAATCAGTTATATGAAGGTGCCGTGTGTGAAGACGAAAATTGGTGTAGGAACGATTTAAATATTACTTGTTTATTCAGTAAGTGAAGTTGAATTTCACATCCGAACTTTACATAAGAGAACCTAAGTAACCTTGTTACTTCTTGATAATATTCTAATCACACCTGTAATAGATGACCGGACAGTCGGTGCGTAACCCTTACTTCCTAAAAAGTCTTAATTTTACTCTAGTGCAGCTTCTTGATCCAAGATAAGAAAGCAAGACAAAAACAAGAAATTGGGATACTTCATGCGTCAAGAAATGCTTCCTGCTTCCTTGCCTCACGACCTTGGGCCACGAAATATAAGAAAATACTTCTTGCACTTCTTGATCCAAGATCTTCGGGTAAGAAAGCAAGAAGTACCTTTTTGCCAGCAATAAGATTATCTCTTGTGCACGCTTTAAAATAAACCAATCTGAAACAGGATCCAAACTATCTGTGCTAAAATTTCAGCTCGATCGTGAGAAAGCACAGGTCTGTGACGCACTAGCTACTAATACGAGCACTTTTAGCCACATACAGCTATTCTTCAACAATTCATTTAAACCAATCAACATCAGCGACCAACGTATACCAAAGCTCAACTTTACCAATCCAGCCCATGTCAACGCCGATAGGGACAACCGGTAAGAATGACATTCAATTCTCCACAGATCAGGTATACATCACATGGCTTCATGCCTTGATCAAAACTCTAGTCATGGTTGCTCAACTATAACTGAGAACGGTAATTTAATACGTAGGACGCACACGCTATACCAATTTTTAGCTATAGCTTTCCCTTATGATGTTTGCGT